CTATCCGCGCATTTATAAGGTAAATGTCCAAATTCCAAACATACTCGTACCTTTTTCATTGTCTCGTTATAATTTTACTCGTCTACCGCCAGAATTTCTAAGTTTACTGGTGCAGGTTCATAGTTTTACTACGAATGTAACTCCATCCTTCTTAATTTGAATATTTGACCACTTGTTCCCGACACCGTCCAACACGGTTGCGAGTGGGGCGCTTAGGTTTATATAATTACAATATAATCAGTTATAAGCTCACGTGTCTGTTGTTGGTATCCGTTGTTGAACTTGAATTTAGAGCAGCCTGTAACCTAAATCTTGTTGTTCTCGAACAAAGGTCCTTCAACTTATCTGTAAAATGTGGAATCCTTTTTTTAATACAATCTTATAAAATTTGTATATTTACAGGCTCGGTAAGTTGTAAACTTGAAATAGTTCGGGCCAGTTTGTGAAGGTGAAACTCGCCAGCTAAATATAATATTGCTATGTGCTATTAAAAAATACGGAAATATATAATATTGAAATGAAACTGACCACAAGCGAGTATTTGCCTGTAGTCCTCACCGTGTGTACTCCTTGCGTAAGACGGACGCGCGAACAAGGACAGTGCGTCGGATGTTGTGACCCGATGCCTGTCTGATTTATTGGGTTATTGTTTCTAATAAGGTAGCTTATCACATTATTTATGTGCATTATAGACGTATGTGCAGATATGTGTGTATTATGCATATTCTTTTGAGTTGAATGGGATGGGAGGATGGTTTTCTTTGCGTATGCTTCTACCGAGATGGTTGAGAGGAACTGAACTGGAAGTTGTTTAGTGCACTAGGTTTTTATAGCCATCCTTATAGTGTAAAATGTGAACATAAAACTCGGTCTTCCTTTTTTTTTGTCTTAATTACAAAAAAAAAAGTGAATCAGACGATGATTTTCACACGATGTGAATCTTTTATTTAAGTGCTATATAATGTTATTTTAATATATATACGTTTCTTTCAGGTTAAAAATAAGATGGTTGTCCGAGTGGTCCAAGGAGTTTGACTTAAGCTCAATTATGCGTATGCATGCGCAGGTTCGAACCCTGCACCATCCAATTTTTTTCTTTCAGTCTACTGTGCTGTGAAATGAAGCCATGTGCATCGCCCTGTCCCCATTGTGTGGGGTAGAGGTGCGTGACGATGCTTGCGAAACTGGCACTGTGGGTGCTGTTTCTGGACGTGTCCTGGTCGTTCGACTTGTGTTGCCTCTAGTCTGTGTTCTGCTTGAGCTCACTTGAGTGCGTAGGCTGCGTCGTGCTGTACGAGTTCTCTGATATGGAGCAGAAGTCATTGACTGGTCTGTGTATTTGAGTATGACACCGTTTTGTTAGAGTATATCTGTTCTTCCTTGACCTTAAACGTGTCACTCCGCTGTTAATATACCCTTTGGTTCACATGTGGTCAATTGCCTGTGTTGCTGTGTCCTCTGTGGTGTCTGGCGACTGTGTTGACTGAGGGCTCTTGCGCTTGATTGGCTTGAACTTGGCTGGCTTTTGATATCTGGGATTATTTGGAGACTTTTGGTTTGCGGAGATAAACTTTGGTTTATGTTGGGTTAATTAGCATAAACTATGTTTATTTCGTGTACTTGGTTTATCAATTTTGTGACCTTGGATTGAGGTTTATAAGTTATATTTATAAATCTATGTTATATTATAGTACCGCACTTCTGGCTATTTTTGGTGAGTTCCTACCAAATTTTTGGTGGCTGGTACACCCTCTCGTTATGTCGGTGTGTTGTGTGCACTCGTGTAAGGTGGTTATGATGTGCGTGTTGGTGTAGTGCCAACAGTTGTGTGTATTTATGCAACCGTGTTGCTTGTAGATGTGTGGTAGCAATGTTACTATGCCGTTTGACTTCGTGTGTGTTAGTAATGTGTCACTTAAGTGATATTCAATGTCTAGAGCATGTGGAGTGCATACTTAAGTTGTTCTGTTATTTTATTGAACCCCTACTTATCTGGGTGATGTCAATCGTACTGGTACACACGTTGTGTGGATTCCTTTTTTTCCTGTGTGATACGTGTTCGTTCTTGCACTTGTGTGTCTAATGACTGTATTGTGCTAGTATATATTTGACCGTTCTCTTGTCTGTGATGGCCCTGAATTGTGGTACGAGTAACCAATTGTCTATGACTGTATAGCGGGTAACCTGTTTCTCTGTGTGGTGTCTGTTCTTGGATTTGAATATGTGCAGTTTGGTTTGAACCTCGTGGTCAAAGTCCTGTATTGTGTGTGACTTCTTATATTGGTATTGATGTCCATGGATTGTGGACTCAATTTGCGTGTAGTATGTTTTTGTAATGTCCATGGATTGTGGACCCCTGCGTGGGCAACTCGTTCCCTATTTGTCTGATTGATTATACTGTTACTTAGCTATGGCTTATTTTACGATTGATGGAGATGTTAGTGAATATCCCCTTTAGTTATTCCGTGCTTTCTATTTAGTTCTTATACTTAGGGTTTAATTACTTGTCTTATGTATGCAACTCTCCCTTGTATACTATGATTGTGTTCTTGCTCGTTCAAGGATGCTAAATTTCGCTCTTATACGAGAATTACCGTGTGTGTGTGGGATCTAGCAGTTGATTCACCTTGTATGCGTGAGATCTTATCTATCTTGTATTCAGTGTTTTTAAATACTATTCTTTAGTATGGAACTATCCTTTGTAGACCCTGTTCGCGTTATTACTTATTCAAGGATGCGAAATCTCACTTTTGTGAGAGAATTACTTTGTGTGTGTGAGATCTAGCAGTGAAATCACTTCTTGCGCGTGAGATCTTGTCTCATAAGTTCTTTTCAGTACACTCTATGCTTCTCTCTACTAGTGTGCTACTATACCCTGTGTTTGTGCGAGTGCAGATAGGCTATCTATTTGTTTACGCTTGTTATGGTTATCCCACGATTGTGTGAATGGATTGTGCGAATGTGTTCGTGATTGTAAGTGACTATTCCACTTATTTTGGCTTAGCCTTGCACATGAATTATTGTCATGCTCTCATTTTGTTGTATTAGCTCCAACATACCATGTCTCGTTGGTGTACTTAACGTGTTACCTTTGTCAATGTTGGTGATCAATATTGGTAGAGCGTGTGTACATGTGTGTCTCGTGTGCTAGCCTCTAGACCCCTTTTTGTACTGTTCTTCGTGTATGACTCACCAAATTTTTTTGGTTCCCAACATTGATAAATAAATCACCTTGACAATTTCTGGTTTTTTAGAACCTCTGTTCACCTAATATGATTACAAAACACGTTATAGCTTCACACAGTCACCTTGGTTGACGGTCTTCACTTGTTTTGTTTTGAGAAGAGGCTGAGTCTTCTCTTCTCCTTGATCTAGTTTATCCTGCTGACTTCTCTTCTTCCTTTGCTTGAGGGTTCGTCTCAGAAGTAGGATACCTCCCGTCTTTCTCTCTTGGGCCCCTCGTAGTTCTTATTCTAGCTTCTAATAAAGTTATACTAAGTCCCCTTTGGCACTTCTCGTTTCTGGTACCTTAAGGATAATGATTTTTTTCTTAGCTGGTTGACTTACCGTGGTAAGGATATTATTAAAAATGTAGAGTTTGAGAGTAGCTAATAACGATACGACCAGAAGAAACAATAGACCTCTTCTCAAGTGCGAATCCTACAGCTAGGTAAAGTCCTAGCTGAAGGACTCGCATTGAGTCTTTAATTGTGTTTGTTGTTTTCTACACTAGACTCAATATTTACTTAACCGTTTCTCTCTCACGCGG